ATTTACGATAGTTTATTATAACTTTTATCACTTCTAGAATAAATAATTATTAGTTGCTTAGAATATAAGCATTGTGTCATCAAAGAATTCCTTGTTTCGATTAATTTGTCATTAATTATTTTTCATTATTTTTGGTTTTTATTAAACACTAATGTACAACAATCTTTGTAAATAATACTCAATATGAGTTTCTAAGTGGTTAATTTACGAACAGACCATCATCTGAAGAAAACGAGACGGAATATAAGTTATACCTAAGTATGGCCATACTCTTACCTTGAACCGCATTTTTCATAACTTTCCCATCATTTCCGGGAAAAATAACAATTACATTTTTCGTTCCTTAGGATGCGTAGAATCATGTTGTAAAAAAATTTTTCGTTCCGGCCGTATGCCAAAATTGGCTTTTTTTTTTAACATCCTGCTTTGAAATATTTGAGAATTCAAGAACTTAACACTTGAAATATTTGAGAATTCGGAAATTTGAAATTTGAAATATTTGAGAATTCAGAAATTTGAAATTTGAAATATTTGAAAATTTGAAAACGTAGAAGTTTAAATATTTTAAAAAATGAAAATTTGTAACTTTCAATACTTAAAAATTTGAATTGTCCAAGATTTTAAGTTTTACATATTTGAAAATTCAAAAGTTTCAAATTTTGAATATTTGAACAGTCGGAAGTTTTTAATCTAAAATATTGGAAAATTCGATTTACTATATTTATCCGGACATTTTACCTTCTGTATTTGCATTTCAGATGTTCTGGCCAGAAACACTGTCGTTACAATTTCACCACCGACCATCCAGGCGCCATTTATTGGAACCCTGCCACCTTGCGACTAAAGTATTCGTGTATTCCGGGTAAGTGTTATTCACAGTTCGTTTCAACGATACTGCAACCACTATTAGAAATTTATATTTCATGGTCTAAGTAATTCTGAAAAATTGAACACGTGAGAAACAGGAAGTACTTGCGCACCCATTTCCTATTCCCACATATATGTATACCTTAATGTCCTCCTCACAGAGCGTAGAGAATCGATTTTCAAGCATGTTTAATCGATAATCTTCAATCTAGATAATCCAAAACAAACACGTGCTCGACCAGATCGAAGCTGGGGGCTACATTTCATGTCACGTGCGTCACGTTCCTAGATCTTTATCTTCCAGGAAGATGCATTATCACAGAACACCATAAAAATTCGTCCTTCAAAAAAAAACTAATAAGTCGATCTAGATAAAAATCTTACGTTCATCACATTTTAAATTAAACTCTTTAAAAATTCAAACCAAAAATCAGAATTTATATAATAAACAAAAATTCTCCCTTACTTTCTCAGTTTCTGAGCTTGTAGAAGGAACATGATACAGAGAGCAATTTTGGCCTCTAATTTTGAGGGATTAGAAGTTCTGCTCGGGACTGCCATAATGGCCAGGAGTTCTTCCGGAAAACGGCAACGTGTTTCGTAACGAACGGCGTGTCACACGCGACAAAAGCTAGAAATTCGTGAAGGACACGCTAATCCGTTGTTTCTATGCAACGGCGCGCGCCACGGGCTCGTAAAGGACACGGAATGGCTCGTTGAATGCGGAACGAACCTTAAAACGGACCGCTACAATCGAACTACCTGAACTTTACGACCATCGTTTCACATTTAACGCGTAACGCGTCCGTAATAAAATGTATTACCCTCTATAAACAACGAGATTAACTCTCTTTTCAGTACCATCTTCCATCCTGGTTACAATATTAATAATAATACTTCATTTGTGGATGTAAACACTTTGACATTTAATACAGGATGCAAACGAAGACAGAAAGCACTGAATTACAATACAATTGTGTAGAGTAGGTGAAATAGAAATTCTGAAACAGGACAAAAATTTTTGAACAAGAATCAACATATTTGTTAAAAGTTGTACGAATTTTATTTACGAAAAATGTATAGTTCGTAGAAAAGATAGTTATTAATAGGAATATTACGCCGTGAAGTAATTTTTAGCAACAAACAACTGCTGATTATACAAGGTGTCCCACTTACAATGAACATTTAAATTATTTCTGCTGCTTTAAGCGTAAGAAGGAACGACTAATAGAAGCTTAGACGGTTTAAGGACGTGCATCTGGCGATAATAAAAAAAAGCTCCCCCAAGATCATCCACTTTTTTACATATCAAAGTATTACTATTAACCCTTTGCATTCTGACCATTTTTGATACGATCGACTAACAACTCCAGCACACTTTCATAATAAAACCTTTGAAAAGCAAAAATTTCGTTTTGAAAAGAAAAAATATTTATGAATTTATTTATTTCTATTTCGTTTACTCATTTGCATTATTTTAATCTAAATAAAAATTAAACAGAGTTATGGGGTATATTATGGTTCCAGTAGAGTACAGAGTGTTATTATCATTACAACTGACGTCCTCACACCACATTAATATCCCCCACAATTACCACCCTCGATTCCATTACAAGTAAAAACTAACATCGCTGCAACACATTTCTACGATAAATACGAAGAATTGTTCTCGTCGAAAATACATCAATCTTCGCGCGAAACTCAATGCCGGTTCCATAAAATGGTAATTCCTCCACTCGAAGGGAACAAGAGGCCGGAAAGAGCGAGATCGACGAACAACGAGCACCTTTCTTCCCCCCTCGAGGGAGAAAGAAAAGGTGGGAAGGGCTAAGCTACCCCTTCGACGCCCTACAACCGGTAACAACCCCCTCCAGGTGTAGGTATTCTCCGGTCGGTTCACCCCTCCGTGGAAAAGTGGGGCAAGGACACCCCCGGCACATAATAGTAGCTGTAGTCACACTCGAAATCGACAAATGGACCGAAACGGATGCAGATGTTGATCCGCGTCCTCATGCTGGCAAAAGTGTCGTCCTTGCGCGTCTCTGTGGCGAACAATACCCCTGGGGCCAGGGTGTTCGGGGGTGGTGATTCAATCGATTCGAATCGAACCGTGGAAAATAGGTTTTTCTTATGCTACCGGGGATAATTTATATTTTTCGTTTTTTTTTCCCCCCCTTTACTCTACGTGTACAGTTAGGGTGGAAATTTAATTTCCTCTCGAACCCCCTGGAGCGACGTAATCTGGAATTGTAAACGGGGGAATGGTTGTAACATATCATATTTCCTTTGTTTTCTTTGCTCCGCGAACGAGATGTTTGAACTTTAATTCACGTGTTTTTATTTATGTTTTTTTTTTCGGGGTTTCTTTCAGAGTCAGCAGTGAGGAAATATTGCAACGAAGAGTTGAAGGTAGTACCGGGTGAGGGCGGTTTCATAAATTCACCCGGTTACCCGTTATACTATCTTGGGGAGAATACGTGCGGATGGACCTTCAGATCTGCTCCTGGGCACAGGATCCTCCTAACGTTCCACGACCTGGATATCCGGGGTAAGTATCGATCCGAGGGTTTCCGTTTTGTGTCTTTACGTTACGCCAACCACGTTGCTCGAGCCTGCAATTAACTCGAGTGGATTCTGCGTGGAATCGATTAAGAAATCACGAGCTGAGGCTTCCCAAGGAAAATAAACTGGTTTCGAGCGAACGTTAATGTTTAACTGGCTATCGAAACAGGAAATCGAAGCGTGTTTGAGATGGGAACTTTTCTAATTCCGTTTACGATAAAAGTTTTAGATTTCTTCTTCTTTTTTTTTTTATAAAAATTTGTATATGAATGATGTGCTTACCTACTGTCGGTACTAAAATTAATCTTCATATTCTTTCGCAATGAAATATTTAATTTTCTACTTTGAAATGGAAATGTGAGCGGAAGAAATTGAAAAATTTTACAAAACAATTTCCTCTGCCTTTTGTTTTTCACTTCTGTCAGAAATCGTTTACGGAATTACTCCTCCGTTATCCTCTTCTTTTGAAGTTCTTTAAAAAAAAATTCTCAATATTCTTTTTTCAACCCTTTCGGGCCAAATATAAGAGAAATTATGCTTTTTGAAAAAAATAAAATTTATCGTACTAAAAATAATTATAAATAACTGTCGATTATACGCTTAATTCAGAAATTGAGTCAAGAACTAAAGTGGTGGGAGCCACAGTAGTAAAAGTATTATAATAAACAGTGGTTTCACAGCAGAATCACTGAGATGCAAAGGGTTAAACGAAATTGTGTCCAAATTATCTTCATTTTTTTCTAACGAATAATGAAAATCGAATGCTCCATTTTCGAAGGAATATTTTTGTAAAGAAAATATCCCAACGGTGTTTTTCAGGACCGGAACCGGATGGAAGTTGCGTAGACATCGTTAGGGTGCGTGAAAATGGAAGAACGCTACTCGAATATTGCGGTACCGCGGCTGGCATCAAGGTCGTCTCGAACTCGAACGTGATTACCCTCAACCTTGTCGCCTCGAAGAGGCTATACACGGCACGTGGATTCTTCCTGCAGTATCAAGGCCAGTTTAACCTTGTCACAAAAATCTATCCGTGTTTTTTTTTTTCTTTCCTTCGTTCTGAAATCGAAGCCCTCGCAGATAGATGGAACCTGAGACGGACATATATTCACGATTGCGCAATGAAATCTCTTTCATCCAGAAATAACATCGACGAGTCTATTTTCAGGACAGCAACGTGATTTGACACGCGTCTCATCGACTCCACGAGTCGCTTGACTAGTCCTCTTTGTAATTACATATCCTAACAATCGATATTCTATTTACTCGATCTGTTGTTTATTATTAGACTGCATAGAAAATATGCAAAATACACGAGGATGACGTTACGGTGTCGCTAACGTAACGATGCATTTATGGATGGATTTGTGTTTGTTGTTGACGTATCTCGAGAGATTCGAACATTATTTCACTGTGATATGTTACATTGGGTTGTCTGATTTTTGGAAAGAAATTTTCGAAAAAGTGAAACAAAGAACAATCTTTTGCAAGATGGAATTTTTCAAATTACCCAGAAAGATCCTTATAGAATAAGGAAACGACTTCTTTTTAAATTGTTGAAATTAGCGAAATTCCCTCGAGGATATTATTGAATTTTTCCATTGACGTTAACTCAATATTAATTAAATTACCAATTAATATTCATAAATTATGATTCTCGTAATCGTGAAATTTCTAACCCGCGTTTTACACCGTTCAGATTTCTAATTTACGTGTATTTTCACGGGAAACGATACGATACACGTGACAGAAATTTCCAATGGTATAATCATCAAAATGTTGACGCGTCGTATAATTATAGTTTGACATGGTGAACAGAAACTACCAGGCAAATGAACAGCGACGTTATACAGTCCAGTTACGTTAATGTTTCAGTGCTGGGTTGTCCGGATGTCTCGGCGCCAAACGGAAGTTACATATTGAATGGCACCTCTCTGACCTCGAGGACGTTTCTGTGCAAATTGGGCACCGTGTTCCCCGACAGCAAAGAAAAGACGAGGATACTCGAGTGCAAGAACGGCAAGTGGAACGAGAGTGTCATCAGCATACCTAGTTGCACAGGTAACCGCGATTCCCTTTTTATCAACGAAAACCTTCTCTTTTTCTCTTGTGTGTACGAGCGCATACGCGGCATACCGTTGCGTTGGCATACAAAATTAATACCGCGCCGCTTGCGAAGTATGTAGATGGGGAAAAATTGTACGTTACATGGCTCAGAAATATTCATCGGGGATGAAACTCTCTGGTAGGTGAGAAAACGAAGGAAAAAATTCCGCTGTATACCTCATTTTTGGAAAATCGAGAAAAATTCGCAGGTTGCCATAATAATTTTTCCCGCGCAACATAAAAATCCAAATGTTTATATTTCTTTTAAATATCCTATTGTAACGTTAGATTTTTGGTTATTTTACTACAAGTATGAAAATTTATAAAACCTTCCCCCTTTTTATAATATACCGGGTGTTTCCCTTATCCTGAAAAATTGGAATATCTCGCGAGGAACTGAACCTATCGAAAAAATGTTCCAACAAAAGTTGTTTGGGATGAAGTGGGACACCGTATGGGGCTAATTATTTTCTTGCAGATTAAGAGGTGGGGGGAAATTTCAAAGTCAAGTTCATTTTTTTAAATGGAACCATACGGAACCATCGCAACCGTGCGATGGAATTTGTTTGCCATATGTGGTAATTTATTGTCTGTAAAATGTTTTTTCTTTAATTAAACATTAGTAAGTAGAAATAAACTTTGCTTGTTTATGTCGGTAAGGTGAAAAGCATAATGGGAGATAAGTTCGATCTTTACTTACAACGTGGCGTGCAGCCTAATAGCTGTCAGCCATCGACTTCGGCTCATTTAACTCCTTAGAAACTGATGAATTTATAACATTTTGCAACAATAAATTACCTCATACGGCAGGTCGTTGAATTCGTCTTAACAAATTCCATCGCACTATGAAAAAAAGAAATGCTTTCATTTAAAAAACTTCACTTTGTAATTGCCCCCCACCATTTGACCTGCAAAACATAATTTGGACCATATGGTGTCCCCCTTCATATGAAACAACTTTTGTTCAAACATTTTTTTGATAGGTTTAATCCCTCGCGAGATATTTCAATTTTTCGGGGTAAAGGAAACAGCCTGTAGGTACATGTATTAATTTCCTGACTATGTTACCTTGGTCACGGAGTAACTTCGTGTAAGAAACATTACTAGCTAAAATTGTGCTAACCTGGGGTTACATCGGTAACTAAATTTCATTTTATTTTAATTTTTTTATAGCTACGTCGAATAAAAATGAATACGTTTTGCATAACAAATTTATTTGAAAAACAAAAAAATAGTCTAGGTATGATAGGTTTGAGAAACTTGAATTACAAAAGAACTATTGATTAAGAATTATATAATTAAGTCAATTTTACCTCACAATTACGGTATTTAGTAAAATTGTTTTAAAATTGTCACTACATTTTTAAAGGATAACTTTATAATGCAAAGTTTTTCGTTTTAATCATCAGTTCAGCTGAAAAATCGGTTTCTACGATTTTCCAAAAATAAGGTTCAGTGGAATCTTTTCCTTCTCACTCATCCAGTTAGTACAATCACTTAATGGGGACATTGAAGGGTTATTAAATACCTTATCAAGATCCTCTACGAACAAAGGTAAACAGCACAGTATAAAAATGTTAACACAAAAGGTGATCAATGGGGGGTTGAATTATTTCTTAGTATCACAAGTCTATTTAATAATGCAATTTAATAACCGTATAGAATTGCAACTAATATGTTACACGTGAGGACAGAACCTTCTCTCGATAGAATAAATTACTAACTAATACCGTACTTTAATGAGAACGCTCGGCGAGTTGTCAAGCATAATATGCAAAAGCAATTTCACAATCCTCTATGTTTTCCAAGTATCTCCATAAAATTGCACGATATAATTTCAAAACTTCAGGATTAAATCCCCCCCTCTGGTACACGTATAATTTAACGGAAACATTGAATCGATGAATTATTAAATATCACCTGCATGCATAGTACAATCCTCTACATATTGCAATTAATTACAAAAAACCAAAAAAAAAAAAAAATACCAGTCGGTGCAAGGGTGAGGCGTAAAATCAATAACCAACCCGCCCTTGCCCTCACAGTTAACAGAAAACATTCTACAGTGCTACAAACTGTCCGCCCATTAATTTCATACTTTCCCCCCAAGAAAAAAAATACCTCAAAAATGATCCTCTATTACGATCTCATTCTCGAAATGCTTCGTCTCGTGAAACAAACGAAAACCGACGAACAAACGATAGTAAGCTCTCCCATAAAGAAAACATTGGCAATTTATGGTGAACGAGGCGCTCGAGTCGGTGAGTACGTCCCTCAAGGGCCTCCCATGGCTACGCATTGCTTTTGAAAGGGGAAACCACATGGTGGGGGATATCACGACGAACGCAAAGAGAGGGGGGAGTTATAGGGGCTAGAGGGGTGGTGAGGGGAGGGAAGAAACAAAAAGACGGAGGCAAAGAATCTTGTGGCGGAGAAGTGTATTCGTGAAGGTACCATACATCGGAAGCGTCGCGCACGTAACGACGCCAGCCGTCCCGACGCCACGTGTGTGTCTGCGTGAACAAATCGTTGAAATATCGATTCATCGTACAAACTGAACTGTTTCGAATTATTCGATCTTCTGCAACCTAACTGTACATTTCGTCGAATTGAACGTTCAAGTGGCTAATCAGTGTCTTATTAAAGGAACAATAGAAGAAAGGAATAAATCACACACGAACCACGTCACAGGACCTTGACGCCCATCAGGTAATTTGAAATGAACCAAACGTTTGCGTAGATTTGCAAAATCAGGAAAATTTGAATTGAAACGAAGCTTCATGTTTCGTTAACTGAAGATTTTTGAACGATTCTTTTCAATCACGTGCTAGAGTTGTAAGTTTTCGAATAGGCCGATAATTTAACAGTTCATTGCTAACCTTCTGGTTTAATCTGTTTAGTAAGAACTACTCGTAACTATTTGCTAATAACTATTCGTACAATTTACTCGCGACACTGTTCAGACTAGCTTTACCCTTTATTAATTGAAATATTCATTTTTCCATTATTATTGGTTTAACGTTAAATATTTTTACTTGCATGTTTATTATCTTAAATGTAATAATATAAAATAGTCTAAAACTGAAAAATGTTTTTCTTTTCAATCGCGTACTGGCAAAGAATTAGCGGGAAACAAAAAATTAATGTGCGTGAAAATTGAGGAAACAGAAATTTATTGCAGCAACAATACTTTACTAAATATTTCCTTCCGTTCTTTCTTTCGCGAACACACTTTTCAACCAATTCCTTAATCACGTGTTATAATTGCAATATTTCGAAAAGTAGACTAGCTTATGAAGCATATTCCCACGTGCAGCAAATTAACGTTCACAGACTTATCTGTATCCTTCTGCTTCCGCTTTTCCTTCCCTCGCGTTCTTTACCCTCGATGACCGCAAGTGCACGAACTCCTCACGCGTCATCAAGACGCCAATAATGGACACTCCCGGGTCATAGTGATCTTCCTTCGTGAAGCCTTGTCGCTCAAGGCGGAATTCTGAATTAATTAACGTCCCCTTAGAAACTTTCCCCGCGCTTCCTACCGAGCATCCGCTCTTTAAAACGCGATACGTACAGCGAATTATTAATTACTCTCGCGCTGACGAGACACAACGCCTTAATTTCGAGCGAACGAAGCACTTCTTTCGCGAGCTGAGATCGCAATAAATTTGTAAACCAGATTATAAACGCGGAGGGCTGACCAATATTCGTTATAAATTAATAAATAATCACGCCTCTCCGTTTTCGATATACATTTTATTCCCTCGTTTCAATGTTAAACGCGAAACTAAGCGATCCATTATTTTTTTACACGCATGGAAAAATGTTTGAAATTATTCATCGAGCTGAAAACGAGTCATTTCGATGAACTCGCTAGAAAAGAAAGAAGAACAGAGTAGATTGTTTTTGACGAATTTTTCTTATATTTTTTTTCGAATAAAATACGACGAAGTGATTTCCAGGCCTAACCGCTTATCAGCGACAAGATAGATTGCATAAGTGTGCACCAGTATTTACCTTCGTCCCGAAACTTTCCGTGATCGCGCACACGTTATCTCTCGACAGTTACCCGGCTTGAATATCGACCGATACAGGGCGCACCGCTAATTCAGCCATGAATGAAAGCGTTGAAAGGAACAGGGGAACAGCTGCGAGGCCGAATGAAAAGTTTTCGCGCCGTTGGAGATACGAAAAAAATTGCCCGAATCCTGCGCGGCTTTTCACGCCCCGCGAACAAAGACGTGCGGGTAGAATGTGTCTCCCAGGCGGTTCTTTGTACGTTCCTCCCATTGAAACCTCGATAATAACTCCGCGAGCCTGGAAGGATTTTCCTTTCCGCGCATATCGAGTAGTTTTTCAGCAGAGAGAGAGAGAGAGAGAGAGAGAGAGCGAGATTATTGCCTCTCTTATTCCTGAGGAAACTCGGAGTTTAACGGCGATATAGAAGGCCTCGAATCGCTCGTGTATCGTCGACGGTGATTGAATTTCCAAGAAGAATAGTATATCGATTTCCTTTGTGCTGCAATGATGGAAGACTCTGGCAAAGGATCATTAATGAGTTATCCTATAGATGGGAGTGAAGGATCGTTAAATAGTTCCGTGTTGTATACATATCGCTATTCAGAATAAAAGTCGTTAGATTGCAAGCTAAAATGTCCATTGTTCCTGGCAGAATTTTTAGGGTACGATCCGCTCTTATTTTGGGGGACAAAGAGTGTATTGTCTATAAATTCGCCTGTTTGGGTCATTCGCTGATGAATACGTTCCATTTTCAGTTCTGCTGTAAATTCGCCAAACCAATACTCAAAATTACTGATAAAACCATGAGAAATAAGATTGTCAATTTTTTACTTATGAAATACCGAAGATTTCAACGATTTCTTTAAGATCAATTCAAATTAAGGCTATATTCCCGCGCAAACGGCGCGAGAGTTTTTTACACCGTCTATACCGTT